ATCCCATCCCATCCCATCCCATCCCATCCCATCCATCCCATCCCACCTCACCCCATCCCATCCTCCCCAGCCAATGTCTAAACCAGGAGCCTGTCCTGGGACTAAGGTAGACACTTGTGGGTGGTGAGAGGTGTGGTATCTCCTTCAGATGCTCCAGCAAGTCCCTCTTCTCTAGAAAAGCTTTGGGGAGGCCATGTTCAAGGTGGACCTCCAGCTGTGGTCTGTATTTTCCTTCTCCTTGAAATATGGGGACGTTTGTTGCCCCTGATTGTTGTCTTTGGATGGGTTGGTGCTGCCTGGGTGGACCAAGGGCTAAGCTCATTGTGTTTGGAGCATTTGGGATGGATGGCATCTGTCCCCTAATGAATCCAACTAGGCTGGGCATCTTCTGAAGAGCCAGTGTGCTGCACTGCAGCCCTCTGGTCCTGGTACAGAGAAGGCCAGAAGGTGCTGACTAGGAAAGCAAACATCCCTGAAGGTTTTGGGTGGCCGTTGCTCCCTCACCCCCTGCAGATGAGTCCCTTGGAGCACCCTCCAAACTTCTGCTCAGCAGCAGAGTCGGTTGTGTTCATTCAGAACTTGAACTTCCTTTGTGTGGTGTTGAGTTCTCACCACTCAAACAGAGTCCCACGGGCCCCTCAATCATTTCACACTCCACAGGCATCCAGGGGCTTTTATTTGCTCCCCAGTTTTTAGCTCGTACTCAAATTCAGCCTTAGCTGCCCTGGGGGAGGGGGAGGACATGGTGGCTTGGAATAACCCCTTCTGACTCATTGCAGTTGTTTGGAGTCTCCTCCTTTTGAAGACCAAGCAGGTTCCCAAGGCACATCTTCTGCCTCGGATGCTTCCTTGCTTCCAGGCTGCCTTGGGGGAGCTGTGAGGGCACTGGTGGCATGGTGGGCATGGCTTGGGCAGCCACACCACCAGCTCTTTCTGTTCAGCCCCGTTGGGTTTGAGACCTCTTTGAGGTTCCCTGTGAAGACACAGCCCTTGTGTCACACTGTTGTTGCTTTTTGGAGCTGCTTTTTTGGAGCTGCTTCAGGAGGAACCCATCCAGCAATGTCCTGCCTTTGGAGCTGTGCTTTCCTACCACTGCAGTGCTGGGAGAGGGGGATCAGTCTTGGAGTAGACCAGACTCCTGTTATACAGGAGGAGAACATCTTAAAAGAAGAAAGAAAGAAGCAAGTGGAGAAGCAATCGGGGAGGAGACAAGGTGAGGGAGGAGGATCAGCCAGGGCTTGTTCTCTCTGCTGGGGAAGCTGTGGCAGCAGGGGGGAGGTTTCCAGTCAGGTATCTCTGTGTCTGTGAACATCACCATCATCCAGATGTTTGGTAGGATGGCAACTTCTGCTCTGATCCCTCTTTTCAGACACCTTTCAAGCCCTGCATGTAGGGAAGGTGCTTGAAAGGTGACCGTGGAGCTGGACCTGGAACCTGAGGGGGGTTCCAGGAAAAAGAACCCCAAATGCATTCATTGTTTTTCAGAAATCCTGTGGCTTTTGGGCTCTCTCCAGGCAAACTTGACTTTTGACCACATGTGGAAGGGAACAATGTCCCCCTTTGGTTTTCAGGGTGCCCCTGATGATGTCCTGCTCCCCCTCCATGACCTTCCCACTGCTCATCTCATCCATGTTTAACTTCGGACTCAGCTAAAGATCAGAGGCATAGAGATGGATTCTTGTGTCCCTAGAACTGGGCTGATGTTCTGGGGCTGGGTTGCACTGGGATTGTTGATAAGGCCTCTACCTGACCAGGAAATGTTGAAACACTCAAGCAAGACCTATATAAATAGGGCCTTTATGTTGAAATGATGTAGGAGAAGCTCCTGGACTTGTTAGAAGCACATTTGGCCATGTTCTTACAGGTCCAGGTAGAACTGGTACTTGACTTGGAACCTCATCAAACATTGATCTTGGCCTTTCAACAAGGGACTTTTTATCCTCCACGTTCCTACAGCACCTTGTCCAAGCTGTCTTCAATCTTCATTGAGCTCTCTGGACACTACCAGAATAAAAATATGAACTGTAGTGGTTAATAGTTGCTGTTCCCATGGAAACATTTAGCTCTTAGTAGGTAAATGAAGGAGTTGATGATTTCCAAATATTTGCATAATAATGTACATGTGTTTGGAATGAAATCTCCTCAGCTGCTGCCACTGGGACTGCACAAACTTGGCTCTCCTGGGAAGAGCTTTGAGAAGGGCACAGAGTGCCTGGCAGTGAACCTCAGCCCTCTCCTTGGAGAGGACACAGGGTGAGATCTCAGTGCCAGAGCCTGAGGCTTAGGGAGGTCCCACCATGGAGATACCTCCAGGATGGAAGGAGTTGAGTTTTTGATCCCCATTGAGTGAGTATCTCCATTATAGCCCAACCTGCTCCGTTCACTCCTCATCTTTAACTCTTCAGATATTTCTGCTGGCTGGTTTTTCTGTTCCATTTTCCCAGCAGCTCTTTTGGTGGCCTCTTAGGCAAGGATTTTTGTGTGGTTGAGTTACCTGATCATTTTTTCTCCAGTTTCCAGCTTCCACAGCATCCCTCAGACGTGGCTGCTCACATCATTTCCTTTCCCACATGCTTGTCCCATGTTAATCCAAGTTTTCCCTGAGCTTTCTGGAGCTGTCCCCACCAAGCTGCTGTCTCAGACATGGAATTTGCAGCCCATTAGGGCTTCACAGGTGTTGAAGGTAGACTGAGCTCCATCACCACAGGTCTTCACATGGAAAAATGTACCTTTCTCTGGCCCATCGTGGTGGCCTTGCCTCATGCTTCCTGGAAGGGTCTGTCTTGTAGAAAACAGCCACCCAAAGAGCCCTCCAGCCCCCAGGTCACTGCCTTCCCATCCCTGCCATGGCCAGGATGCCCCATGGGACCTTTCCTCCTGCAGGCTGGGTCCCTCAGACCTTTGTTGGCACAGAGCAGTTGTGGTTCTGCTGGATGCAGGGATCATTTTTATCAATGCCAGGTTCCAACAGTGGCATCTCATTCTGTGTTTCGTCCCATAGCTGCTTGGCCTTTAGCTCCAGATTTGGAGGTGCCATCCAACCACGTTCTCCTTCAGAGCCCCCCAGTTGGCACGTGGACTCCAAACCTCCTGGTTGTGCTGCTGGCTGCACGCCTCAGGATCTCAGCTTCCTGTTTTAAACTGTTCTTTGCAATTCAAATAAGAAGTGGAGAAGGAAAATATGGGTTCAGAGCTTGGGAAAGGGCCGTGGTGGGAGCTGCTGCCCCCGTGTCACGTTGGCATGTGCCTTGTAGGACAAAAAGTGTTTTAATTGTTCCTGGCTGGGCAAACAGAATGAAGTGTATTGTCATTCTAAGGAGACCTTTACTGCAGATCCATTCATATCTTGGGGAGATGAAATCTCTTCTCTAAGAAGTTCCTTGCAGTAGAAAAACAGACCTTCTGTTGGAGTGTCTACACAGGCAAGGCCGTTCTTGGAACCTGTTTCATTTATGTGCAGTCTAATTTGGGAGCAGCCAGTGCACACAGACTGCTCCAATCCTCATTTCCAAGGGCAAAGGAAAGGGTGTTTTGGCTGTGTCTGGGTGTCACAGCATCAGGCAATCTCCTCGGCTTTGGGTGTGCAAAAAATATTGTGGCAGGACTGTCAAAATCAAGAGGCACGTGGCAAAACAAAAAGGATGCTGAGAATTAAAAAGAGGTGGCAGTCTCTGTCTTTTCCATTTGGCACTTCCAGGATGGATCTTTTCTAGTGTATTTGCTTTAACTGTGAGCGTGCTAGAAGGGAAAAGAGTTGGGAAAATACTTGGGGGCTGAAGTCTTCCTATCACCTTGTGCTTTAGGAGCTTGAGATGTTCCAGGTGGGAATCATGATGCAAACAAACAAAAAAATAAAACCCCTAGCAATCCCATTTGGAGGTAAAATGCAAGATGGGAAGTGTTTCTAGCAGGGGAAACTCTTTCCAGTGACTGAGAGGGAAGCAGCAAACCACAGACTTGGAGTAACGTAGGTGGAAGCTGCAGCCAGTCGTACATATGGCACTGGAGTCTCCCAAATTCTCCCGTTTGTCTGCCAGGATGAGACCCCAGGGAGTGGTGGGGCTGTGGAGGGCTTTGGTTTGTTGCTCATGATGGGGAAAGTGCCCCAAATCCCAGCAACTCTGGCAAAAAAACTCTTCCTTTGTAGCAGCGATTGGCAAGGGAACCCAGTTCTGCTGAGTCCTGGAGTGGCCCGAGAGGACCTGAGAGTAAACTGGAAATCACCCCAGTTAGAGAGCTGGAAATGAGGAACACGACTGGTTTGTGTGGCAGGAGGACTGGTTTGTGTGGCAGGAGTTGTTGATGAGCAGTTCCCAGCAGCTCATCGAGGGACACGCTGAATAACGAGGAAAAAAGGGGCGAGAATCGTGCTAGAAAATTGCACTGAGGAGAAGCATGAAAACTCTAAAGCTGGAGGCTTCAATCCACTTAGGAGACTCTCACGTAGTATTATGGGCTGCTGTGATTTAACTCGAGAAAGAACACGGGCTGTGAGGAAGGCTTTTGATCTGGGACACGCTGAGAAAGATCTCAAGCTTGTTTCCTTCACCCCCAAGCTCTTTGGACTGCAGGTGCTTTTTTGCTTCCCAGGAGGGTTTTTTCCATGCTCTCAGGAGGTGGTGGCTACCAACCCTGGCCATCAGAGGGTGGGTGTGAGGAGA